CAAGCTGTCCATATTTATAGTAGTGTTATAGTAGATTCGTTTTGCAAATTCTTGGGTTATATCCAATCTAAAGCAAAAATCTGTCTGAGAAACGTTATTTTCTCTGTGAGAATGTTACTATTTGTAATCACGGGAAACATATTGACACGTTGATATTCCTCCCTATGAAGATGTTAATACACTACAATTTCTTGAGTTTTCTGGATGAGATGAGAATACAACACTAAAGGAAATATCAAATGACACCAAAATTTTCAAGTACAAAAGCATCTACTAATTTCCAGACCAATTTACAAACAGGCAACACTCACCAAAAATCTGAATACTATATTAACTAACTAATTGGAAAAATAAGCAGTTTTATATTGAAGAGAAAAATATGGATAACTGTATTTTGAAAATTTTATAAAATGTATGAATGATAGTGAAGCTGACAGGGAAGATGTTTAAAATAATAAAAATGGAACGTATATGGAAGTAACTAAAGTGAAAAAATACTGACTGATAGTTTTTGGAGTGAATCAACGTCTATTTATTGAATTATTAATGAGGGTCTTGCTGTCGCAGGACGTCCACGCTTCCTTTTCTATCTGATTAGAACATTTTTGTGGTCTGCTGGTGGTACCACATACATGAGCCGGATCGCGAGCCCTACAACATGACTGTGTGCATTTATAGTTTTTGAAAAAATGAGGGCAGTTTCATTTGCACAGCGTTATAGCTTGTTCTTTATTCGAGCTTATTGTACTAGACTCAAGGTGTATTACATATTTCTACTCTTTTACTCTACTATATACTTACACTCTTTTTAAGCTCCTTATCATGTTAAGATCCTCAAATTTACATTTCTTAAAAGTACGATTTACATCCAAGATGATGACATTATTCCAGAAAACACTACGGCGATAAATACATCCCGATAATCAAAAATCTATGAAACATTAAAAGCACGGGATACTGTTCTCCCCAGGGAAAGGATCTTTGACTTTAGTTAAAATAAAACATTTAATTTCAGACAGACGGAAGAAAATAACTAATTAAATCATAGAGAATTGCGCTATAGGTAATTAATTCAGGAACTGAGAGAGGTACAACAGTACTTCGAAACATTGGCTTGCCAAGCTTTAAGGCAAGGAACACTAAGACGAGGCGACCGAAGTAGGTACTCACCAATCTTTTTATATTTTACCATACAATGATTGGGTTAAAGACAAAATTAAATAAACTTACAATTTTTTTTTTTTCATTTGTCGCGCAAACTAACTCGTTTTGAATAGAATATGTGTAAGAACCACCTTGGCAAGACAACAATACAACTGACAGTCTTCTTTTCCCTATAACAAAGTAAATAAACTATAAACTTATACCCATTAAAGTATTATTATTGTAAAATTACGCTTTCGAAATGGTTAAAATCATTGGACTGTAATGAAACAGAACGTCTTTTAGCAATACTGGAATAGATAGGTACACCAAAGCTATATACTTACTTACTCTATAACCTACATACCTAATAGACACACGCCAACATTGTTTCACACATGTGTATAAAAAGATGCATCCTCACGCACACACAGCCGCACTCAAACACACCACGCAGCACACGCACACACGCACATACATACCACGCAACACCCACGCACTCCAACGTTACACACACACACACCGTCACACACGCACACATAAACACACACACGACTATAACTATAAAATATTAACAATAATAATAATAATAATAATTGCCGGGAAATACCGCCTCTCCCATTTAAAAATTTAAAATTAATCTTTTAGGCCTTGGGAGAGGCGAGAGTTTAAAATAAATATAATAATAAAAATCTGCATCCCAAAATTGCTAGTCAGATACCCATTGTGAGCATTGTCATCTGAATTACTTTTAGTAGCTTAGTGAAAGTATATGTTAATTAAAGTATAAGTATATGTTAATTTCTAAAAAAGGTTATAATATTTGTATCATCATCATCGTCATTCAGCCATACGACGCCCACTTCTGGGCATAGGCCTTCCCCAACTATCTCCAAGACCTTTTTACCTTAGTTCTCCTACGGATTTCCTCATTTCTGATTCTATCACGTAGGGAAATACCGAGCATAGCTCTCTCCATTGCCCGCTGAGTGACCTTGAGCTTTCTTATGAGGTGAGGGACCACGTTTCTGATCCATATGTGATCACTGGCAACACACACTGGTCAATATTTGTTTACACCACTGCAATTGTATGACTAGATTGTACTGGTAAAATAATAAATAAATAATAGTACCTACCTTTTTTTTTTTCTTTTTTTTTTTACTAAATCACTACATCTAAGGTAGTTAGTTACGCATAGTAGGTAGTTACGCATTTCGTTCCAAAGCTAATGACGATGGTTTTAAAACGCAAATCCACATTTGTAAAATCGAATTTTGATTTTTTTAAATTTTCGCTCATCAAAATGTGCCAAAGGGCAATGCGGCATTGACGGACTTTCGCTGAAAATACAACATAACATGCACACCGTTCATTAGAATAGGCAGACGACACACATATTTTTCAGTTGTTGTTTGACAGTAAGTTTGCAGTAGATATAATTGTGTAAATGTGGTCGATAGGGCGATCGATTTCCTTACCTTGCTTATTGTTAAAGGATGCTTATCTGCCTCCAGTAAATGTATTCATTGATATAGGGCATGACCTGCTCGTCTACTGACATCTTGTATTTCACACTGTTTGTCATTATTTCACACACAAGGACACAAACATGCATGCACACGTATAAATCACATTGTCTCTTTATTCAAAAAGGACCGCAACTGCGGTCCTTTTTGAAAATTAATTTACATCAGTATGTCGCTCACATTTCGCTATTTAACTAATTGTGTGAATATAAATTTAAAGTTTTGAATTATTCACATTGATTCGGTAAGTAGTGTTGTGGTTTTTGATTAATTGTTGCATTATGAGCTTGATAAATATACAAAAAATAGTATACAAAATGTCACACCTTTCGCAAGCATGTAATGACGCGTGTTAAAGCAAGACAAAACATAAATCATAAATTAATAAGCAACAGAGTGTTCTGACTACACAATAACAGATTATATTTAATTTAAAAAAATAAATTTGGGATAAAAGATTAAGATTGGTTACTGCCACCTGAAGACCTATCTTCAATATCTAAGTAAATCCGTCGCCGTACGGGGAACGTAAAATCTTAAGTCTTCCGTATGCGCGCACCCTTCATTTCAATGCACACCAAAATAGATCTACTTTGCGGTAGACAGGCAGCGTGGTCGTATTCACACAGGAGAATTCTGCTCTGAGAAGCTTATCAGAGATCAAACAACTGAATATAGGTATATTCTACTGAACATACCTATATTCAGTTGTTTGATGACGCGCTGAGTACATAGATCATACTACCGTATGATCTGTGTACTCAGCGCGTAGTGATTAAATCAAAGGCATCATTTGATATTCTGCGTTTTATATGATTGAACTTAATTAGTGGCTGATATTAACTAAGCGATAACTATATTTGTTGGACCGAGTGAAGTGAAACTTTTACTTCATGTCCAAATTTTATAATATTGTTTGAAATAAATTTAAGCTAATGAGGTTAAAATCCTTACAATTTCTCTCTCTCTGTATGTGTGTGTGTTTATGTGTGTGCAAGTGTGTGTGTGTGTGTGCAAGTGTATGTGTGTGTGTGTGCGCGCGCAAGTGTGTGTGTGTGTGTGTGTG